TGGGGTCCATAGAGGGGTCCATAGTGGGGTCCATAGTGGGGGTCTATACAGGGGTCTATGTAATCATATCACGTGTTATTACATGCGGTGTGCAGGCGTGTACATGCAGCGGCTGTCACCTGATCATTACCTGGAATGGGTGACAGCGGCCGCTCGTCAGATTGGGGATTCCCGCTGCAGGAAAAACGCATCTCCCTGACGCAGGAATCCCTCATTGCAGGTAGAGATACAGGTGTGAAGGGGGCCGTGTGTTGGGGGCCGCCGTACATACCGGATAGAGCGGCCCCCATGGGAGAAATAAATGTGTCGAGTGGCCCCTGAATGAAATGAGTTGGAGACCCCGGACCTAGAAGAGCGACATTTTCTATCTTCTTCCCTTCCAGTGCCGACGACCAGTTCACCGGCTCCATGGAGACCAATGTGGTGATCCGGTATGACGGTCAGATCATGTGGGACTCGCCGGCCATCACCAAGAGCTCCTGCAAAGTGGACGTCTCCTTCTTCCCGTTTGATTGGCAGCAGTGCCGCCTGACCTTCGGTTCCTGGACCTACAACGGTAACCAGATCGATATCCTCAACCACCTGGACACCGCGGACCTGACGGACTTTGTGGAGAATGTGGAATGGGAGGTCCTGGGGATGCCGGCCAAGAAGAATGTCATCACCTATGGCTGCTGTTCTGAGCCGTACCCCGATGTCACCTACACCCTGATGCTGAAGAGGAGGTCCTCCTTCTACATCTTCAACCTCCTCCTTCCATGCGTCATGATCTCCTTCCTGGCTCCTCTGGGATTCTACCTGCCGGCAGACTCCGGGGAAAAGGTGTCACTGGGTGTCACCGTCCTCCTGGCTCTCACAGTCTTCCAGCTGCTGGTGGCAGAAAGCATGCCGCCCTCCGAGAACGTGCCACTTATCGGTGAGTAGACCAAGAGGAGAGTTCAGGAGCAATTCAGTCACTGGGAGTCTGGCCTCAATATGTATAGCTTAGGGGCCCGGGAACGTTATATGGGTATCTGCCGTACAAGTGACAGGCCGGGAGGCGGCCGGGACCCCGCAGCACGGGAGGAGGCCGGGGCCCGCCTCCGGTGTCCCCAGGGGGTCTCCACTGTACATTAGATTTTTAACCACCTTCCGTCCATGGCCGTTTGTGACGGGAGTCTGCTAGGAGTGGGAGGGCGTCTTAAGACGTCCTGCCCCTCCCCCCTCTCGTGTGCGCCGCTCCTCCGGGGCTGCGGGGGCCAGAGAAGCTGATCTGTGCTTCATCAGCTTCTCTGGGGGTCCCTAGGTGACATCAGAGGTCTTGGAGACCCCTGTTGTTTCCATAAAGAGGACCTGTTTGGTGAACTGGCTATCACATAG